GAAAGAAAGATGTCGACTACATTCGCACTTACATCCGCATCCGCGCTGGAAACTCCCGTCATCGTCATCGATACCTGTATGGTAGGTGCAGATTTTGAGCATTGCTCTTCTTCCTCCTCTTCTCCTTTTACTCCCTCGCTCTCCTCTCTCTCCCCCTCATCGTCTCATTCCCCTTCCGTCTCGACTTTTCTGGACATTCCTCGGTTTTTCAGGACCGCTTCACCCTCGACGAGAAATCTACGAGTTCATCGCGGGAAGGCGATTCCCCCTTCTCCGGTCACGCCGCTGACGCCGGTTAATAGTCCCGCGTCGCCGGAGGTGCGAGATGGGTTTTTGGAAGTCCCGGATTTCGGTGTGGGTAGTCCGAGTGTGAGGTGTAAGGGTTGGGGTATTTTATCTTCTTCTTCTTCTGGTGAGTGCGAGTGCGAGGGTGAGGGTGAGGGTGATGGGGAGGGGCCTGGAATGGAGAGGGGAGAGTTGGTGGTGAGTCTGGTTGCGCCGCCGAATACGCCGTGTTCGCCTTTGGTTTTTGGGCGGGTGGAGAGGGGGGTGATGGATGAGGGGGGGGAGGAGTGTGAGGTTTTTGTTTTGAGTCTGAGTGAGAGTGAGAGTGAGGGTGAGAGTGAGAGTGAGAGTGAGAGTGAGGAGTCTCGAGATACTTTTCGAAATACTAGTGGGTATTCAATAAGAGAGCGTGTTTTGGGGGATATCCCGCAAATTGTGGTAGGGTTTGAAGAGGAGGGGTGGGGGCAGCTGGGTGTGCAAGCGCATGCGGGAATGCATGAGGGGTGTGTGGTGGAAAGTTGGGAGATGGAGATGGAGATTCAGCTGTGGAATTGATTGACTGCATTATGGATTTGGTGATGATATAGATCATAGGAGTATCTGTGATGGAGTGATTGGGGATTTACAAAATTGGTTCGCTTCATGTAGCGTGGTGTTTGGGGCTAGCGATGCGTGGTGCATTTGCTGGGTATTGGAAGTTGATACTTGATACGTAGAATCATACCAAAAGTTTGGATTTGTGTCCTTTTTCGTGTGCAATTATATCCTCTAATGTTATAACTGGGTAGCTGGTAGTCTTGGTTCTCATAGTCAGATTGAGTTCTGCTCATTGTGGTTGTTCTAGGCTTGGATGTTTCACAATCTTCTACTGATTGCAAGTCAAAAGAATGTTTCGTGAGTGACTGAGAATGAAGCTTAACTGTTCATCAGGAATTTGAGATGTGAATCGGTGTGTGAAGCTAGCTCGACATTCGCTATTGCTAATCCATTTACATCTTGTTATTTTATCCATGCTCTTAGTGTTTGTTTGACATCTTGATATCTTGACGAGTTAGCGTTGATATAAAAGCCTCGATCGGGATAAAAAGTTTAGTAGAGGAACATGGAATGGAAATTGATTTGATATGATAAGATTGAAGCACAAATGAAGACACTCTTGAGAGGTCAACTTCTGGACTGAGTCGATATAAAAATGAAAAACATGGTTTGAGCAGTAAAGAAAGATTGCGGAGTTAAAGGGGGGAGCTTTGCGATCATTTAGTGGTGCAGCGAGCTTCGATTGTGATGGGAAGTAGCGTGGCTTGGTTCTAGAAGGATGAACCGATGCTATGGTTCGAGATATCAAGAATTTGCGTTGGCTATTATAGACAAGAAGTTCAACTTAGCCTGCTTACCTAGGTCTTTGATGGCATATTTGTTTAGGAAAGAGGGGGATCGAATTTATGACCGTGTCTCGGTGAGTGAGATGAAGCGGTTGGTTTGATGAACGAGGGTAGGGTAAAGTAAGCGAAGTTTTTATTTGTGTTTGTGTTGGAAGTGGAAGCTTCTATTTATCTACTTTGGATATCCGTGTTGTGATCTTACTTCAGAGATCTATTCAGTTGAATTATACTGTAGTTATAGGAGCAATATTCATTAAGTCATTTCTCATGCATAGCTTTTTTTGGGTTAGCTTATAAATCGGGTACCCCACTTTCGGGCTATCCCTCTTTTGGGCTATCTTAAAAATTCATATTATATAGTTTTAAAATATTATTTATTCAACAACTATTTAATATCATAATAAATACTTGAGACTACACTTTCATCATTATTATTAATATCTCCCATATCAATTTCACAATCTTTTATTGCAATTTACATTTTTCTAATCTCTTTAATCTTAAAAAACTTCGAATTTGGACTAGTTTTCATTTTATACTTTTTTTTAGAAATGATTTGCTTTAATTAATACTCCAATTACTTTATTTGATACTCAGATTACAGAATTTCATAATTCTTAATATTAAATCCTTTAATAATCTTTTTAAAAAGCTAATAATAAATATAAAAATTGATTTTTTTGTTTTAAAGGAATATATACAAATATAATCTTAAATCATTAGTTTTTCGAAATATTTTAAAAGTTGAAATTGCGAATTCCCTATTCTATTAATATACAAGATTATTATTAAAATGTAAATTCTGATTTATAATTTCCTTATTATTATTTTCAAATAATAATTTGAATATAATAGATTTAATATAGTTTAGAGACTATAAATCTAAAGTTTTCTATTTAGATAGTATATTATACTTTATTAAACTATCCAATTGTATTTTCTAATAGTATATAAGGAAATTAGTCTTTCTAATTACTCTAAAATCTAATAAAAAGATCAATTTATTGAGATAATATTTATATGCTCTTTTAAAAGATAAAAATATGAATAAATCAAAAGGCTATAGAATGTATAATATATATAATAGAAGGAATAAGAGATATATATTGTATTTAAAGTATTTATATATAAATTTAATAGTTTTATAATTTCTATATCTATTTAATATAAGGAGTCTTAATTTATCTAGTAAGAAAAAGACTATCTAAAGTATAAAGACCTTTTTAAGCCATTTTAGGACAGTATTATTCGTAATTCACTCATTATCTATAATAATAAAATATTATTCTTTATAAAGCTTTAAATCAATCGAAAACTATTATTGTTATACTGATTTTCCCTTCAATATAATAAGGGAATCAAAAGCTTTCCCTACAACTAAAATATACTCTATAAGTAATATCCAAGTTTTAAAACCAGATTTCTTTTTCTAAATAAAACAACATTCTAAGCTTTCTAAAACTAGTCTATTTAGTCCCTAGCCTTTTTATATATCTGCTTTATTTATATTATACTAATATTAAGATTTAATATAATAAATTGAGGGTAAATCTAATTTTGGGAATTATTAATTAATAGTATTAATAATTACACCTTTAATATATACTAAATCAATCCTAACTTATCTTTTAATCCTAATCTCTAGATTCCTTTAAAGAAAGTTTATAACTCATCATTTCCTAAGTATAAAATCATTTCCTTTAATATCGAAAAGACATTCTCCAATTTCCCGAATTTGCTAATATATAGAATTAGTATTCAAAGATTTTTAAACTAATATTCAATTTGCCAATCGTTTCTCCTATATCGAAGCTATCTTTTATATATATTATACACCTTTTTTATAAAATAAATAACCATTTATACTGTTAGAGTTGATCCACTTTACCACTAACCCACAAAAGCGTGGAGTGTTCCGAATACGTTCGGAACAGTGGATCTACTATATATACCCTGTCAGGTGGTCGCTCCCTGACACTCACCCCCGTCTTGTGCGGACCCACCCGGTATGCGCCAATCAGGAAGGAGCTAGCTCCCTATAAACATAGGTCTATAAACATAGAATGCTAGAAGTGCAATAGCTGCAGCTGAACCAATCACCGAGATTGAATTCAAAGTACGATTATCCTCGTTCAGATTCACCGAATAAGAAGCTCAGAATAAGATACCCTTGTATTCGGAACACAATGTTAGAGTTGATCCACTTTACCACTAACCCACAAAAGCGTGGAGTGTTCCGAATACGTTCGGAACAGTGGATCTACTATATATACCCTGTCAGGTGGTCGCTCCCTGACATATACAGTTTTGAAAAGTAATTCTTAAAATCTTATAATTCAAAGCAACTTATTGAATTGAATATTCATTCATTACTACATATAAGGCCAAATTAATATTAATTTTGATATATATCTTAAATATAATATAAATAATAATATATCAAAATTTTAAATCAATTAATTCAAATATTATAAAGTTATTAAAGAATAAATAAGAAAGATCCCTTCTTGCAATAAGCTTTTTTAAGGTAGCCCAAAAGAGGGGTGGCCCGAAAGTGGGGTACCCGACTTAAATCACAAGTCAGACTAGCCAGCTAGAATAGTGAGCTTGATGTGGAAAACCATGCTGTTTTCGTGAAAGTTGATAAATTTGAACGGATGTGAAGGCTTGTATCTGGCTACCTAGGTACCTATTGAATGTGAAATGGTTGATTTTTGAAATATTTGCTGTGGTGAAGTGTATATCGTATACTACTGATGTGGGACCAGTGCGGCTAGCTCATACTTTCAACTTTGAGATGACTTGCGAGTTATATATGGGATTTGGAAAGAAAGCTTCGTATGGCCTAACTAAATTACAGTTTATTAAAAGTTCCCATCAAGCTCTGATTTTTTAGCCAAGGAATACTACATAATCCATGCAAAGTATCAAACAATCTTCACAAGGCACAGTATTAAATGTGTATGCAATGGGTCTTGCAGAGCCGATACATCCTCTCACTCTTCTGTTCTAATATACATAACCCCGCGAAAATTCTCAAGAGTTCTTCAAGAAGCTGAGGTAGAATGGAGTAACCGTCTTCTTCTTCTTCTTCAAAGTAACTTCTTATCTCACTCAACAGTTTATTGTTTCTAGTGGAGATGCAATTCTCCATGACTTTAGTCCTTGGTTTAGGACTCTCAGTTCAATGATACATACTTCCTCGGGCACTTAATAAAGCCAATGAGTATCCGGGATAAAAATGGTAAGAATTCTATTACTTACCTACATAAACAAACTCCAAAACTTCAATGTGTTTCGATAATCGAAAGTGTGCGAATTCTCTAACCGCTAATGCTAAAATCTACCGGTTTGGCCAAAAATGAATCTAACAAGCCTACATGGGCTCACACACCAAGTCTTTGTGTCTGCGTCTCTCTTGACAAGACAGAGGTCTTCGCCTATTTGGTTGCTATGTCCGGACAGCGTAGCTTGCGTACTCTAATCAGAATTGTAACCCTGGAACAAACGGCGAAGATGGTCTCGGCGATATCGGTGGGGGCTGTGCTGAGTTGGACACACACTTTACGACAGGCAGAATTGGAAGTGTCTATTGGTTCACACCAGCTATTTGCGAGACTGGAGAGGCAATCCTGGCCGGCTTCGAAGCGTTCGTTACCGACGCCACTAAAATGGCGCTCGATGGAATCATCGACGTCCCGAAATAATGGAGCGCTGGATATGGATAGTGTTGGGACTGGATCGAGTGGAAATTTGATTAGTGGATAGTATCGCAGCAGGGAGTGGAGGTTTCTTTCGAGTGTATTATAACTATCATTTCTATTGTATATGGTCAGGCAATGATTTGTTTTGCATTAATTTATGGCTAGCTTAATTTGTGATAAACTTAAATTTATGTGTAAAGAATTTGATTAATAGGCCAAGCTAAATACCAAACTAGCGCTCAGTTTTTCTTAAAAACTTGCTATTGGCGTTATCTGATTAGATAACTCATCAATCGCAGAGAATTGATTCTTTCAACAGACCGTATGCCTATAACTTTACAGGATGAGGTCGATAAGAGAAGTATCAGGATATAATTGCCGCAAGAATAACCTGTTTAGGGAAGATATGCAACTCTCTTCAATGGACTTCAAGTCTTCAAGTCTTCAATTCAGAAAAGATGCTTTGATCTCTCAACTCAAAAGCTTACTTCCGCCTTGATCTAATCTCCTGGAGCCCCCTGCATCTAGTAAGCGATACTGTAACCTTAACCTAGCCGAATCAGACCAAACGCGGTGAGACCTGCGTTAGTCTATTTCCAATCCACTTTTAATCCTCGACGTTCTCACGAATCTCGAATCCACCTACGTGCAAGATCTTCACTGGGAGATCCGCTGTTGTGTTAGAAGCACGGGTCGCATTGGGAACAGGAACAGAGCTTATCAGTTAGTAGAACTTCTCACAATTAGTGTACAGGATTAGACGCTGCAACGAGAGAATCAGAAACATAAGAGCTGCGATTTGAGAAGTTTGTTATTGGCGGTCTGATATGTTATCCATCCCTTGTGCTCTTGAAAAGGAGCATATCCCGTAATTCTGACGATATCCTTGTCGCGCTATGTATATCAAACGTCATCTCAACTGTTGGAGCGGCTTAGCGAACCCAATAGGGGCACAGATCCGTACCAAAGATGACTTGAAGATATGGGATTTATCTCTTTAGCATAATGACATAAACCGCTTTTTGGGTTATCCCTACTCCGTGCCCTAGATTTACATTCTGCTTTCATAACCGTTATTTTTTAGCCAGGCTAAGTTGTTTAAATGGAGTACCGAGGTATTGGCAGACGATAATTTATTCTACGCATATAGCTAGCATTCGGGTCAGCTCATCAAAAACAAAAAGTTTAATCGAGTATCGAGTGCGTGGTCTGACCCGGTCGCAATGCAACAGAGTGGCAACGAGTTTTCCTAACAGGTTCATTCTGCAACGGCGGAGGAATGGAGACCAACTTAGGATCTTACTTCAATCTGAAGAAGTATTATCTCCGTCTGCTGTGCCACCAACATCTTCTCATGTAATCAGATCATACTGTAGTTCTACCTAACAGGTTCCATGAAAAGATAGAATAGCAATCCTCACTTTCAAATTCCAAAAGATATACTAAGAAACAATGCTATAGCGACTGCGTTAACCTAGAATCTAACTTACCGAGGTCGAGTCTTGCGCCAGAGTACTTTGGTTCCAGAGGCAGATATGTCAGGCGAATCTCAGCAAGAGGTAGGCTACTTGCAGCCTAGATCATGATATGGACCAAGATACTAGTAAGCAAGGCTTGCATCATGAGGTTATTTTCGATGCGAGGTCTAATTCGATGCGAACCGCTAATGGTTTGACCTCTCTACGGTGTCTGAATAATCTCTGCTGCAATTTCAACATATTCAAGCAAATATCTTCTAGTTCACAATTTATACTGCAAATTAAGCTCTCCATCTTTCAATTATATAGGCTAACCGCAATCAGATTACCGTACGTTTTATTCCATTTGACTTGGCTGAATCCCGAATAACAATATCATAGCTCTTACAATTGCCTTTCGAGTCTTTGCCCTATTGCTGGGTGCGGTTATCCTATCATCATACGTAGAGCTCAAACCGCTGGGCCTCAATCATAACAGCCTGAAGCGAGTAACTATCAGGAACTATACATGGCAGAAGACAACTTGGCTCGAAGGATGAAAGAGTGTGGCTCGCTCCCGCCTCGATTGCCACTGCAATTTCAATACCTCTACTTATGCAAGCCATCTTGCATATGCCGAGCTCGCCTGTCTTAGCAATGTTATTTGTGAGTTCAACTCTTCCCCAAATTGAGGTTGAAACTTTACATTCTGCTGGTTAGCCTTTGGCGTGGATCACAGATAGGATCGTTTGATTTGCGTTTGTCTCCATAGCGAGACCTAGCAGAGGAAATATTCTCTGCGAAACAGGAGTAGTCATTGTTGCATCAACCGTCATTCTTTGGGAAGAGTATCGACTCACATTACTTGGTGTAATCTTTGGAGTAACTGGAATGCTTAACTTAGAATTCGCCGGTGTGCTATAAAATTGTCAAGATTGCAGTGATCGATGGGGTTGGGAAGATCAGTGGGAAATGGTGGCATCTTTATACAAAAGATTGCATCATAATGAGACGTGTGAGGAACCTGTCTTACTGTCTTATAAAGGACATTTTGTAGCTTCCGCAAATCGTATCAGAGAAATTACACTTGGCATCTATGAGGAATTGCTTAGTGCGATAACATCAAAGACTGGTTGGAGTCACAATGAGACCATAATTGGTAATAACTTGGACAGATCGGACGTACCATATTTCGGGTATACTGTTGAGAGACTTTAGAATCTGCTTTTGCGATGCTTGAACTTGCGGATCGCAACTATCTGTCCAAGTTTATTAAGTCTACGGAAAAGATTCGGTAGGATAGATGATTGTCAATGTTTAGAATGAAAAAATGTATTCGTAATGTTGGAATCAGCTCGAGCTTTAAGTTTTCCATATCTGACTCCAAGAATGTCTATTTTGGTCTTGGTGGTTAATTCTCTATATAATGGCAGTAACATATCATCGTTCAAGATTAATTGCTCAGTCTTACAAAGGCTACCAAAGAACTAGACTACAGATTCATTGCCGGTATCACTTCATCAAAGGTAGAGGACAAATTGGGTTGGACAACCAAATAATACAATGGGACTGAGTTGGAAGAGACGTAATATATTGTGCCAAGCATTAAATGATCGCAATGAGAATTGACGAATAAAACACTGAAGTTGCTACTTTCAGTAGCCTGTAAGAATATTATATATCGAATCCATTTACTACACAATGAAAATTCATAATCAAAGATTTCTGGAGATCGGACTGCATACTAAGCTGGTTCTCCTAGAAAAGCCAGCTTAAACTCGTTCAGGTTGTGTAACTTTCACACATCTTTGAGTGGTTTTTGCGCTGCTGCTTCTATCTTCATATGGCTTTCGAGCTGCATACCTTCTGTTAACCCCTCTTCACTCCTTTCGCCAGCCCCGGCCCTCACAACCTTCACAGCAGCATCCCTCCCCTTTCCTTCCAAAATCAACTCCATTTCCGTGTCCATCTTCCAGATTTTAGGATTGAAAGGACCATTAAAATGGGTCGGATGGCATACAAACCCCAGTGACCAGCCATCTACCCTTGGATTAGCCCTAGAAATATTTTCGAACAGCGATCTATAAAGGGGGTAGCTGTGCTCCGTAGGCGAGTAGCGACGAAGGTCAAGACATCCTGGCTTGGCATACAATAAAGTCCATAGTTTCGGTAGTTCTGGTGGACATGTAGGTGGAGTGACGATGCGAACAATGGAGGAGAATTTGTGGGTTTCTGAGGTGGATGACAGGCAGGTTGAGAGTGGGATTTGGAAGATTTGTGGATGGAATGTTTGAGTTAGTGCGAGAGTTGCGTTTTGTGGATTAGCAGATATTTGATGTGCTGCGGGGAGTTTAACTTTTGTGAAATGTGATTTTATGGCGGCTATTTCTTCTTCTGCATCCCCAAATTTCAATTCTTGCATTTCCTCAATCGCAGGCTCTCTATCTCCTGCTGCGTACTCATAGTCGGAGCATGTAAACAAAATCGACCACTCCTCCACGACCTCATCAAAAAGCGTAGCATTCCATCCAAAACTATCAGAGAGAACATATTTACCACGACATTCACGTTGAGTGAAAAGGTGCATGTATGACTTTTGACGTACAGGGCATTTAAGTGAACGCATGAGACGGGTAACATTAGCATATTCCGGAGAAGAGGACCAAAGACAGAACCCCTCGGGAAGCTTGCCTACTTGCGGACCAAGAATACCTGCGGGTGGAGGATTCCAAGTGAGACCCACTTCATTATCGTTGATAATAGGATATACGATAGTTCGAATGCGGCGAGCGTCCAGAGTTTGAACACCCTTTGTCTCTGCGAGGCTATGTAGCATGTCTCTTTTGATGCGAGCACATTTGTACATAATGAACCATTTCTCAACCCATCTTATGGGCTCAGTGGGTATCCAAATACCCACGTTAAGCATTTGATTCACTCCTTCCAATGTATGCCGAGGTTGACCGACACAATAAGCTGTGTCAAAGAGCAGGAGCAGGGTGTAAGGTTTTTGGCCATCAGGGCAAATGGGGTTCTCTTTGGCGCTAAGATCCGTATTCCCAGTGATATGAAGACAGGTAGAGATAGGGAGCGTGATTTTGTAAGAAGAGGGTAAGGACTGCACTAGAAGAACGGCGTATGGAGGTTCCTCATCTTTGGTGTAAATAGATACTTGATTGTTTGTGTCACTGTCAGTATTTATCGCAATTGGTTTTCTGTGGGTGTCATTGGAGACCCGAGTGGCATCAGTAGCCTCGTGAGTAGGTAATGGCGGATTCAAATTTGGTAAGGCACAGCCGGAGACAGCAAGGGAGGTGACAGTGAAAATTATAGATTTAAGTGATTGACGCCGCATGTTGGAACTAGGAAATGTATCAATAATGAGAATAAAAGAATGACAATCGCGATCACATGATTACAATAGCTTTGCTTCGAGTATTAAGCAGTCAGACTGTGCCGTAAAGCTGCCTAAAATGACGAACTCACACGGAGGCAAACCAAAATGGCACAGGATGCCGAAGGTAACCTTGCCAGTCCTAATTCGAACTAGGTACTTTTGATATTCGTGATTGGGAGACTTTCTCGCATTGGTCAACCTTGTGCTTATCTCTTGAAAAGATTGAATACCGATCTCTGTACAGTCAATCATTGCGTATCTCAATGTAGCGAATGAAAGATGGCTTGCAGAGGCGTACTGCTAGGAGACGAGCAGAAGATCTAGAGCTCCGTTCTTGCGATTCAAAGTCGTATTTGATGAAACATGCTCTGATCAAATCAAATTAGTGTCTTTTGGGCGGTGATGGATATGAATTCTGCATTGCTTCTCGTAGAAATCTTCACAGCAGTCTAAAATCCCGACAAGATTTTTTCGGTTGCGGTTAATCATGAAATTCGACATTGAAAGGAAAGGCATATTATATGCCGACGGATTTTGCGTCGACTTAAACGCAAATCAAACGTAGAAGGTAAAAACTTGCATTATACAGTGTTGTAGAGATCATTCAAATGGTCATTGTTAGTGGGGACATATTGGCAAACCAACCGTTGGTGCTGATCCTCTTATAAGTTTTGGGCTTTCGACGGATTCAATTTCGCCATGTTCATGCCCACGGACCAAATATCTGAACAACGCCAGCATAAATCAAAAAATGGCGAAATCTTTCAATACCTTGTTCCTGTTGAGTATTGTTCTTCCAACAATTTACTGGCTGTGGACAAAGATACTGGCTTGGTCTACCAGAAATAAAGCCGGATGCTCTTCTCCGGTCAAGTACAAACACCTCGATCGAATCTTAGGATTCGACCTCCTCGCGAAGAAGATGAAGTACACAAAGGCCGGAAAGCTACTGGCTTTAGACGATGAATTGTTCGCAAAATATGGAAAAACATTGCATACACTATTTTTTGGTAGAAATCACTGGATGACTATGGATCCTTTGGTTATACAAACTGTCGCCGCTACTCAAGCCGATAAGTTCGGAAGTGCGCCTTCGAACCGTAAGCCAGCTGGGCCGTTGCTAGGTGATGGCGCCTTTACCACCGATGGGCATATATGGAAGTGGTCTCGAGAACTTCTCCAACCCGTCTTCAGTCGGTCACAAGTTTCTCAATTATCAGGGTTAGAGTCTCATCTGCAACGCTTCCTTGAACGTATTCCTCGTGATGGTTCTACGATCGATATCCAACCTCTCGCCCAGGGGCTTTTCTTAGATAGTTCCATGGAGTTTATCTTCGGCAAATCGTCTGGTTCCCTCTCACCTTCCGAACAGTAGGTATTTAGTCAACTGATCTCGTTGAAACATGCTTACATAATACGTAGAACTGCCCAAGCCAAACAGTTCTCAGAAGACTTTGACGAGGGCCTTCGAGGAATGCGAAACAACTACATGCCAGACAAATTTTCATGGCTTGTTGGTCCCGACAAGAAATGGCTTGCTCAATGCGCCAAGATCCATGCTACCTTGGAAGGTTATATTGACGAAGAGATCAAGTTCCAAAAGCAGTCAAAGTTGCCAGGTACATCATCCAAGCCCATGAATGGCTCATCGGGATACCAACACGTTCTTCTCAAAGAGCTTGTTAAACAGTATCCGGACGACAAGACTCTCATTCGAAATGAACTCATGAACGTCTTTTTTGCAGCTAGAGATTCAGTAGGAACGGTCACTTCTAGCATGCTATTTCTCCTCGCTAGAAGTCCTGAAAGTTGGGGGAAATTGAGAGAAGAAGTTGCCGCTATCGCACCTGAGCAAGAATTGACTTTTGAGTTTCTCAAATCCTTAAAATATGTGCAAGCTGTGATTGACGAAAGTAAGTTGATATGGTATTCCAAAATAGATATTGAGATATCAGCTAACACATGGATAGCACTTCGACTCATTCATCCTGTCGATCGAGCTTGGAGAACATGTTTATCCACTTGTATCCTCCCACGTGGTGGCGGGAAGTCGGGGAACGATCCTATTTTACTACAACCAGGCGACCAAATCGAATTGATATATGGTTGTATGCATAAAGACAAAGATATCTGGGGTGATGATGCATCAGAATTCAACCCGGACAGGATGGTTCGACTTAAACACAGTTGGAAATTTATTCCATTTTCCGGGGGGCGTCGCACATGCCCGGCCCAGCAAAACGCATACACTGATATGGCGTACTTCTTGGTCAGGATGGTACAAGAGTTCAAGACTATCCATAATCGGGATGATTGCTTAGAGTATGTCGAGGAGTATGTTATGACCAAATCCAGTCGAAATGGAGTCAAAGTTGCATTCTCAGTCAAGTAAGGGTCTTTGGCCATCGATAACCTATGACAACCTGTACTCACCGTGCTGTATATACAATATGATAGGTGTGATTGACGTCGTGTTCAATCGAGCCAACTTGGAAACCAAATACCAGAAACGTTATTGACGCTGTCTTGAGAACTGCCTATGCACAATGTGACAGTTTGCAATCGTTTATTGGTGCGACAACTGAACCATGCTTACTAAGCTGAATTGATGTCGTCCACGTGACTATAGTCGCCCCCATTTTGGAAATTCAGGGTTCCTGATACGCTAGAGAAACGCGTTTGCTTTAAGCACCGACCCACCAGAGGGGCCGAGGAAAGCCAAAAATATCAAAATAAATGCTCGATACGAGTATCGTAGGTAGAAACTAATAATTCCACATCTGGCTGAATCCATCAGGAACCCCCCACAATTTGAATTGAACCCCTAATCAGGATTGCAATTCGTGTTATGAATAGTTGATATATTCTCAGTCTCTCTTTACTTTCTTGTATAAATTCCAACTTCTATACACTCTCTCACATAACCTTTACGCCTTGTCTATACCTCGTTCTTTGCCGCTACAGATCTCTCGATTCCATGATATGATTGAGCAATGAGTATTTTCTCATATGTGCGGAGCATTTATGCTCTAGATACCATCGATACACGCTTCACGAATTCTTCTTCAACTCCATATGAAATTGATCCTGCTGCAGCAAAGTCGAAACGAGATGACTCGAAACCAGGCGAAGGGGTACGAACAGACAGCAATGGCAGACCAATTGCCCAGCCGTCGAGATGGAATACCACAGAGTTTTATTTCTATTACTTCATCTTCTTAACGGTTGTGCCATACATGTTTTGGATCGCCTACGATGTGTCTAGACGTTAGTATATGACTTGCTTCTCTAGCATAGATAAATCTGACTGTTGTCCAGCTTCCGATCCCAATTACCATAAATACCAGCACCTTCTTTCTGATGGATGGATTCCTGGGCGCAAGATTGTATGGGTTATTTGAAAAAGTTAGCCGTGGCAAATGCTAATTGAATGTAGGATATTTCGGATGCACAATATTATAACTTTCGAACCAACGTACCATATCTCGCGATTCTCGTCGTTTTTCATCCTCTTCTTCGACGGATATATGAATTTCTCAGACCCATCTCTGCTCGAGTTGGATCGCCGAAACTAAACGGCAATAACACATACATATCTGTGGCGGAAGGCAATGCGAGACTTCAACAACGTGCCGGGTTCGACTTCATTTTTGCTTTCATATACCTCCTCGCTTTGCATGGATTTTCCGCTTTTAAAGTCATTGTGATAGTCTATGCAAACTACTGTCTGGCGACTCGACTTCCTCGAAAGTTTGTGCCTGTAGCAACATGGGTTTTCAATATCGGTATATTGTTTGCCAACGAGCTCTCAGATGGGTACAGATATACATCAATAGCACAATATGTGTCTCCCAAGAATGAAGCCGGTTTCCAACAAGGGGCTTTGTTGCATAGCTGGGCAGAGTGGATGGATAGTTATTCGGGCATCATTCCACGATGGGAGATTCTTTTTAATCTTACTGTCTTGAGATTGATCAGTTTCAATCTGGATTATTACTGGAGTTTAGAGAAAGGAGCTGGAAGTGCACTAGAGGTAGGTCATCATCAAAGTGCCGTCCGTATGCTCTCATCTAATACTAATGCGCAAAAGAAGAAGCAACTTGACCCTGCCAATCTTTCCGAGAGAGATCGCGTTTCGATGCCTGCGCCGGATAAGGACTACAATTATCGAAACTACTTCGCATATGCGATTTATGCCCCTTTATATTTAGCAGGACCAATTTTCACATTTAACGATTACATTTCTCAGTCGAAATATCGCCCTGCTAGCATAGACAGTAAACGAACCTTTAAGTATGGTATTCGTTTCCTACTTTGTTTGTTGGCAATCGAACTTCTCCTACATTTCGATTATTGTGTGGCTATTTCCAAAGGCAATCCCAACTGGTCTGATTACACCCCAGCTCAACTGAGTTTACTCTCATACTTCAATCTCCATGTACTATGGTTGAAGCTTCTCTTACCTTGGAGATTCTTCAGACTTTGGTCTCTCATTGATGGAATTGACCCTCCGGAAAATATGCTTCGCTGTCTTTCCGATAACCCATCTACTGTTCAATTCTGGCGAAGTTGGCATCGCAGCTACAACCGCTGGATCATCCGCTACATCTACATCCCTATGGGGGGTTCTTCATCACGAAATTGGAAAGCCCAAGTCCGATCAATTGTCAATTATCTCGTCGTATTCACATTTGTAGCATTATGGCATGATATAAGTCTTAACCTGTTGGTGTGGGGCTGGCTCATAGTTTTCTTCATGTTACCGGAAGTTATTGCTGGCATGCTCTTCCCAAGAAAGAAGTGGCTCAATGATCTTACGTATTACAGAGTCATTTGCGGTATTGGTGCAGTGGCGAATTTGATGTTCATGATGATAGCAAACTTGGTTGGGTTTGCTGTCGGTGTTGATGGGTTGAAGAGCATTATTTCTGGCATTTTCAAGGACTTTTCAGGTACGTTCTATTCAAATATTGACAAGGGGCATTCAACTAATCCAAACAATAGGAATTGTTTTCCTAATCACGGCCTGGGGTGCACTTTTTGTTGGATGTCAGGTTATGTTTGAAGTAAGGGAGAGTGAGCACAGAAAAGGAATTTTCCTAAGATGTTAGAAATACCATTGAGGCCAATATTAAGAATTGCAGTTTCTTTTTTCAACATTTGAGCTTCTATTATATCCTTGAACTGTTGATTCTTTGTTTCACTGAGAGATGACTCGCGTAGTTCGAAACTGATCTCTTTGAAATTCAATCGTTACCAGACGGTAAATAGTCCTATTTTATCCCGCAGAAGCATCACACTTCCTCTAGTCAACATCAAATCTGACTCTCTTCTCCTGTATCTCATCTAATTACCAATAGTCACTGGCACTTACAATAATTGATATCGTTTCCCACACATAATCTAATAGGAGAAAATTTCTGGCTAAATCCATTAACTCCATGGAGTTATGATGCCACAAGAAATGTAACATGCTCGCCAAATGATATATCCATGGACTTGAGCTGAGTATCTGGAAGTATCTCTTATCATTTAAAGTTGCAATACCCCTCTGATACTGAATACTCATCGAGTATCCATCTTAGTATTTCCACTCTACTTCGCGTCACAGAAATCATCTTATTATACAACTCCTCACATCATAACACCACATCAAGATGTCCACCGCCATTCCCAAAACCATGCGTGCCATCATGCTCCGCAATCCCGGTCCTCCCTCCTCTCTCCAAATCGAAACGATTCCCACTCCCACCCCCCAACCTGGCCAAGTATTGATAAAAGTTCGGGCGTTCGGTCTTAATCGCTCGGAAGTTTTTACAAGACAGGGTCACTCACCTATCCGGGAGGTTCCCCTCCCTAGAATCTTGGGCATTGAAAGTGTTGGCACTGTTGCTGCTGTTGTGGAGGAGGATGGTGCAGGGAAAGATGGATTGAAGGTTGGAGATAAAGTAGCTACATGTGTGGGCGGAATGGGCCGTGCTTTTGATGGTGGTTATGCGGAGTTTTGTGTTGTACCCAGGGGACAAGTTGTGAGGGTTGGAGTTGAAGCGGGGTTGGAGGAGTTGGGATGGGATATTTGGGGTGCATTACCAGAGATGATTCAGACTTCTGTGAGTCGTCTCTTGTGTGATCTAATTTTTGTCTTTCCTTATTCGTACACTCATACGTCTATGGTACCTGTTAATGATACTAACCACATCCCAACAGTGGGGCTCTCTCTTCTCCTCCCTCAAACTCAAGAAAGACGACTCTCTCCTCATCCGTGGCGGAACTTCCTCGATCGGTCTCGCAGCCGCAGCACTAGCATCCCACCACGGCGCAATCGTCACATCCACCACTCAACAACCATCTCGCACTCAACTTCTTCTCGATGCAGGTGCTCATCACGTTATCATCGATCCAGCATGCGGACTCATATCTCCCACCACAAATACCCGCTTCGACAAAATCCTCGAACTAGTCGGTCCCACCACCCTGGATGATTCTTTCAAGCTGTTGAAAGCGGGGGGTATACTATGTCAAGCGGGTATTTGTGGCGGTAAATGGATCTTGGAAAATTGGAATCCTTTTGCGCTGGGGGCGGTTTATTTCACATCGTATGCGAGCAGTGTGGATAGATTTTTGGAAACGCCTTTGGATAGGGTGGCGGGATTAGTTCGAGATGGGAAAATTAGAATCCCGATCAGAGCTTTTGAGGGGTTGGGAGAGATTGGGGAGGCGCATAGGATTATGGAGATGGAGGGGGCGGCGGGAAAGATTGTAGTGGTTGGGGTAGATATAAGTTGCTCGATATATTGATACAATGATAGCGTCTTGACACATACGACCATAGACTGAAGAGAATTGGGCATCCCGTCCGCTCTGCCATACACAAGCTTCAGATCGGTGGATTAGTAGTTGGGTGGGTGACCACCAGCGAATCCCCACTGTTGTATGTTGAATATTGTTTTGCTTGGTTGTTGAGAGGACCTTATGTGAACCTGTACCGTACTGTCTCTTTCTTACATCTTGAAACACGATGAATTGATCTCCTCCTTGATCTAATTCTACCCCTATTCATTCAGTTTTGTTCTTTCTCTTTCTCTTCATCTCACATTTGTTAGTCATTCGTTCTTGTATTTTTGAGGTTTTTCAAGCTTTGCTCCTCTTCGCATTAGACTTTCATCTTATCTCATTCGTCATTCATTGCTAAAGCTCTCCAGCTGTTTCAGCAAAGCCATTTTCAGATTGACCTTAGTTCAGTTTGCGTTCAATTCTGCCTCTCTTTCTTCAAGAATAGGAGATTGAATTTCTTTAAGTTGTTTCCAAAGCAGAAAATCCACCTTCTCTCATAAGTTATTCTTCAACAAGCGTTTGGCGTACCATTCCTTCCCAATTCTCCTCAATTGTTCCTCTCCTTCGCTTTCTGAAGTCACATGCATGTTCCATTTTTTTCATTCTAGATCGGGGTAATCTCGCACGTGATCTCTACGTCACTATCAAATCCCTTCGCCCTAGCTTTGGGGGGCGACGAATTAAGGAGCTGTTTTGCCAAGATTCGAAATGTTTTGTTTATTTTGACTTTTATGATGACTGCTTTGTTTTGTTTTCCATGTTTCGATAAAGTTTGAGATTTGACCATTGTTGTACAATCAAGTCGCCCTCCCACGCAATTCATGTCAACCGACCTTGTCGTTACATCCATAGAACAGTCACAGAAATTGTAAAGTTGCACCTCAAGATGTGGGATCAATTGGAACCAACTGCTCCCCATATAACATATTTTGTCCTTCCACTTTTTCTCATCACTTATGCCCTCTTCTCAAATTTTATCCGCAACCATCTGCATCTCTCAGAGCCTCCTCTCGCCATTCTCTTTGGTATCATCCTTGGACCATATGTTCTCAAAGTACTTACCCCAGAAGAATGGGGCTTTGACGATGAAATCATGCAGGAAATCACTCGTGTGATCGTAGGCATTCAATGTTTTGCTGTAGGATTAGAACTTCCCAAGCATTATTTCAAAAGACATTGGAAATCGGTTCTCTATCTCCTAGGTCCAGTCATGTCATTTTCCTGGGCCATCACTTCTTTATTCGCCTACTTCATTTTTCAGACCACTATACCCACAGCTTTAATAATAGGAGCTTGCCTCTCACCAACTGATCCTATTCTCGCTGCATCCGTCCTTTCCAAATCTCAATTCAGCGAAAGAGTTCCTCCACGTATTCGTCATCTTCTTTCAGCCGAGTCAGCATGCAATGATGGTGTCTCTTTTCCATTTCTTTACATCGGTCTTGTGATCTTCACTACTCGTGGAGGTCCTGGAGAAGCTATCAAGGAATGGGTAACAATCACACTGCTCTGGCAATGTCTACTTGGCATCATAGCAGGTCTCATACTTGGAAACATAGCCAATCGACTTCTTCGATTCTCAGATACTCGTGAATACATATCTAGACCTTGTTTTGTGGTATTCTACCTTCTTCTTGCCATGCTTTCTATTGGCATCGGATCTATTCTGGGTTCAGATGATTTCCTAGTCGCTTTTGGTGCTGGAGTCGGTTTCGCCCACGATGGATGGTTTTCCAAAAAGACCAAGACCGTGGCTTTTCCAGTAATCGTCGATCATCTACTGAATTCTACTATGTTCGCATACTTTGGCTCCATTATGCCGTGGAATCAATTCCAACCAACAACCATTACACCCCATATCAAACCTTGGACTCTCATCCTTTTCCTCATTCTTGTTCTTCTCTTCCGCAGAATTCCAATCCTTCTCTTGACCAAACCTTTTATTCCAGATATCTGCACTTATCGCGAAGCGCTCTTTGCAGGTCATTTTGGTCCTATGGGCGTAGGCGCTTTATTCCTTGCTATAGAAGCAAGGGCACAACTCGAAACTGGTACATCACTACCTCTTCCTAAGCCAATATTCCCCGACGAGCCAGGCCCCATCAGCGAGGAAACAAAGGCTATTTGGATTATATGGCCGGTGATATGTTTCGTGGTATTTGGAAGTACAATGGTACATGGATTGAGTGTGATGGGAATTAGTTTAGGAGGTCACTTTTTGAGAAAAGAAGGAGAAAGAGCACCGTTATTGGGGGAAACGCAGGGGTTAAGTGGGATGGTTCATGAAGGCGGGGGAGGTGAGAGTGAACCGGAAGTTAGTGGTAGTGAAGCTGAATAGTGCGATTGGGTTTTGTGAAAGTCCTTTTGAGGGGATCTGCTGCTTGCTTGAAGTATTCTTTTAAGTAAAACATGCACACATACTCTTTGAGCGTTTTCTAAAAAACAATTTAACTATTCCTCTGTTTAACAATTAAATCACGCATGAAATTCAATCCATCTACCCACAACCCGTTATTTGCACTTTTTTCCTTCTGTTTTGTTTCTCGTTATGATCATATACCATTTATCAATTCGTACATTGCATTCAATCACACTATCATACCATACCATACCATAATCTCAACACCCCATATTCTAACAGGACATCTCTCATGATACTGCACACACAATGCGTATAGACAGGAGCACACATTATTTACACGGTATTTATATCGTGGTATCTAATCTTACATTTCTGGAAAATCAATTATGACATGCATATTTCTCCGGAAATGTCTAGAGAATCGGATAGATGGTAGGCTTTTTCATGCCTGTGGGTGCGGATGCGGAGTATTGTGATACCGATACCGATGCTGAGGATGAGGATGAGGATGAGGATGAGGATGAGGATGAGGATGAGGATGAGGATGAGGATGAGGATGAGGATGAGGATGAGGATGAGGATGAGGATGAGGATGAGGATGAGGATGAGGATGAGGATGAGGATGAGGATGAGGATGAGGATGAGGATGAGGATGAGGATGATGTTGTTGTGTGACTTGGTTCGCTTGTTTAAGGGGATACATGGGGTATGTGTGTATTTGTGGTCACACAAGCTTGAGATGAAGATGAGGAATATTGCGGGTCGAGTTTATGGGTTGGGTAGCTAGTTAGTTGTTTGGAAGAAGTATCGTGGGATAATGTTTGTGTGATGAGATGAGATTTATGAGTTATGGGACGGGTATCTATTGGCTTTGGATATGGATAGGGATATATGTGCACAGTAAGATGCAATGAATAAAATCGGGTGTATATTCTATAGCTTCAAGGCCGTTTGTGGTTCAAGAGAATTACCATGGAAGTTAGGTATCATCTGATCACCAATTTGTATGAATTTCAATTCTCGAAATACATATTCCATCCGCTCTTTTTCGGTTTCCTCTCAATTCTGTCTATGGACAGTACTCATTATGTGAAGTCACTGCAAGCGCATTCTAGCAGATTGCGTAGATTTAGCTTTTAGCACAGAGAAATTACGCTCAAGTCATGTTTTAGACGGCTGTAGAGCTGTAGAAGGAGAGGCGCATGCGTCGAATTTTGGGAGATGGTCTCTTTATCTTGTAGAGGTATATGTGAAAATAGTAAACATAATAATAGACCATATAATTGAAGACAAGCGAGAAACATGGTAGTACAGCGAGTGCTGGTCGTGAAAGAAGTAAATATCACGAATATGATAAACACCAAATAGTGTGGATTATCTTTGGGGTCAGATGTTGCTATATCCATATTCTTGTCATGCGGTACTACTCACTTGTGACCCAAATATCATCGCATTGGACAGAAGCCCATCCAAGCTCCAATCAGTACCGCTGATTCGTCCCTCAAGTTTCAATTCCATTGCAAGCTTTCTGTATGTCTCAAGCCCCAAAATCACTGTCAAGTGCCTATCTCCCGGCACCGCGCACATTCCGTGAAGTTAGCTAAATGTCAGTATTGGTTAGCCCCTATCAGAAACGTTTACAATCAGTTAGAACATTGTTGTGTATTTAACTTCATGTTAGCGTCTGATCGGATCTGTCTCCGTCCGTATTTCAAAAAGTGAGCATCACCAGTTCACCGTTGCAAGGAGTGAGAGGTCGGGGAAGAATCTCTCTTCTACGCGTCAAGTATGTTTACACTACATGGCCATTCCCCCACTGTGTCTTCTAAGTATAAGAGATAATAGGTGCTTATTTTATGCAGCTAGGACGAGACTTATTTACATTGTTCGTGGTATGGTGTCCATTGGATTGCTGTCATACAAGAGTGAATGATGACCACTTTACTATAAAGGGAAAAGTTCGAATAATTGTACATCCACACTTAATCAGTTAGCTTAAAGGCTTTGATTGCTTGGATCACCATCCTTGAGTCTGGAGAGTGGTTCTTCATATCAGGGGCTAGAGTTACGCTTGGGTATACCTTCGGTACAATGTCTATGTGGCGCCCGAGGACCCGAGATGAACTTGTGCTTGTTCCACACTCGCATAGAGTTGTTGCACCACATCCCTTTTCAATTTAAGCTTCGTTAAGCCAAGTGTAATTTCGGGTCAGAAACTACCGTTTAGGAAATTCTGGGGGCGGGGTAGGGCAATACAATGCAGTCGGTGCTAAAGGAGAAAGAATAGTCGTCGCTAGACACGATTGCGAGATTATGGCTTGTTCACACTCTATGAGAAGATATCTGATTGCAATCAATCGTTTGAAATTTGGTCGAATATATCCATCCGCTTTATAGATTTACCTAGATTTGATGAGACAAGGTAAAACACCTGGGTATATCTTCCCTAGTCAAGTTAACATTACAATGTGAGGAACTGACCTATCATACCACAAAACTCATACGTATTGTCTCAACAACGACCAATTCTCCTCCTAATCGACGCCCCTGCGCACTTGATCCTACTACCGAAACTAATTTCTTCACTCACCTCCACCCCTTCATATTAACTTATCGCCTGCTGCCCGAAGCTCCGTTTACCATAAATTGAGCAACAAAAATTCATACAATCTTACAACTCTAGGCTAATTGATGAGCCATGTCAGGCGCACCACTCAGCATCATTAATTCAATCATCAATCCATGAGCTTCTGCCGTCCGCTCTGCCTTGTTCTGTGCACCCCTGTTGAACCAACCGCTGTAATCTGTCAACGCCGCAGCGTGGATATCAAGCAGGCGAAAGAGCATAAGCACAATCCATGATGTTTCTCAGCCCACTTTCTCCGCCGCTTATCGTTGAATGTGTTGGGAGCGGCAGTGAGTGATTCTAGGTTAGGGGTCGTAAGGATGGAAGATGGTGAGAACTTTGGTGGCTGGATTTCTTGGCTCCAACGGTTTTCTTCATGAAGCTTGAGGACTTTTGTTCTTAACGACTCCTTCAAGTTGGTGACGAGAGTTTGGGTGTTGGAATGGATGGGTATCTTCAGAAGATGTTGTATATCTCTCATGCAGAGGATATGAAGCTGAAAAGGATGAACTCACCGACGAGATGATCGCAGGAAGGAATGATAGAATAGGAGAAGGTTGTACTGCAGCATACGTTACACACCCAAGATTTGTATTTTGCTTTTCATTGGATGTGATCTGGGGTCTCAAGGCTAGAAGGTGCAATTAGGAATCTAAATGGGATGAAAACAAGTCGATCACATCATGCAAAATGAGCATTTATCGATCCGATAGTATCGTTTACTTAGTGAACCCGCATTCGCTTTCCAGGGTAATTTCACAAAAGACATTCCGATAAACAAGGCCGTTTAATATGTTCGAGGAAGAGAAAGACCGAAGTCACTGAAATTCAAAAGTGCATCGCAGGGCCAAGCAATCATACGAAACCGACGAGATCAGTCTCCGCGTATCAACTACCTAACCACAAAAAGTTACATACAGGGCTGTGAATATCACATATTCCCAAACTCCGAGATTTTGTTTTTAAATCGTCCTGGCACAATCTGCGCCACTAGAATGAGAAGCTAGTAGGTTTATTTCTGGAATGGTCAGAAGATACGAATAGTCAGTATTCCCGGAAACTTCCTGGGAAATTTCCATCATGCACTTTCATTGTTACACCGTCAATCAATTAACCATCACAGACCGTAATTTCAAAGAGGCACAGACAGGTCAGAACCATATTTCCAATACGACTTTAAACCCAGCAGACTATGTGTACTTAGCCCAGCGCAACCGAAGAAGTTTTTGCGTTCAGCCATCCTTTTGAAGGCCCCCGGGTCTCAGGAAACGTGCCACCCATTTTAAACCCCAGATACATTTTATCTTAAGGGCGAAAAAAGTTGGCCGTCACATCCTGGAATTCGAGTCAAAACGTATCTACGGCTCAGTGGTTTATCAACCCCCTGCCGGTATGACTCGGGTATGACTCGCATTGGTCAAGGAAACAGTTGGTTTACAGCCTTACAAGGAAGGTCCACGATATTGAATTCGTGTGAATGCATAGATATCCTGGTCCGCATGATTGAGAGGTCACTTGATTTGTGGGTTTGCTGAGTATGCCAAATTCTTACATTCATGGTGCAGAGTGTTTTGTCGATATGCCTTGTTTGTTGCAAGTGGAAACGTTAGAAAGGTGTCAACCTTGGACTTTGCCGCGCCGCTCACACACCACAAACTACTAGAAAATTGGAAAACTTGGTTGGTGAAAGTTGGATGGGTAGATATGTATTGCCAGTGAAGGACTGCGCTGCTTCTTCAAGACTATTCTATTAATTTGTACAATGAATATATGTGGATTGCTCTAGGAAAATAGAATCTCCATGACAATGATGCTAGATGTTTGCCGCCCCGAGACTTGTCTCTATTGATGGCCTGCCTGTAAACCCAATTTTACTTTCCTTCTACACAAGATTTCGTGCAGTCCAATGGTTCCACAGAACGATTGCTCATTATACCCAGACTTCGTAGAAACCAGAATTCCATATACTGTAGAAAAATTCAAAACGATTACCAATATCTATCGCCCCAGAATCCTGTACTTCATCAGTTCCTGCTCAGTTTCCTGCCCATATCTCTTGATGCTGCTGCTGATGCTGTTGCGCATACATGATTTGTTGATGCTGTTGCTGCTGATAATGCAGTGAACTGGCATCACTTGCAGTCCTACTCCTCAACTCGCCTACTAAGGTTTGCTCTTCGTCTGTGAGACTGTGTATTGCGCTGTCTCTTTCATCGTGATTTGGCCACGGCGTTCGTGGCTCCATCTTGATGTCGTAGTTCAGTTGTTCCGCATGTTTGGATAATGCATACTCCGTGTTGTTGTATGATCGATCGTCGGGAGGGAACATTTCGTTGAACTTTCTCTGGACGGCTTCTTTACTCCATTTTTCTTGGACTCCATGCTTCATCATGCCTTTTGCGACAGCTTCCCATTTCTCTCTCTCGTAATCTTCCCAAGCAAGTGTCAAAGCTCGCTCCTAAGCTTCGGTTAGCTTCTTCGTTGCCTGGATTAGTGACTGATCTGACCGAAATACATAATGAGCTAGGGATGTACCTCGCAATCAGTCCAAACGCGGAGACGTTCACAAAGTCGCTTCTTGCGCATTTGCAGAGCTGGCACTTTCATACTCCTGCCTGTCCTCTCATTGAACTGCTTCGCAATCTCTTTCCAAGCGAGGCCTTCAACCTCTGATAGTTGCATCAGAATTTGTTCCTCGTGATTTATATTCTCATGAAAAAGAATATCTCCGTCCAACTGTGTGGGGGCACCCTTTCTCTTCCTCCGAGTAGGAAGGGGAGCAAGTTGCTCTTGGTATTGAGGTGGTGTCGAGTTATAGGAATTTAAGGAATGCATGGAATGCATAGAATCATGACGGCTATATGGTAGGCTATCCCTATATGGCATATCTCCAGGTCTAGTCGCTGGTCGCATTGTGTTGGGGTTAGGAGCAATCAGTATTGGTGCGGGGTTGTTTACTCTGTAGCTTTCAGGACTTTGAGCTGGTGTGGCATGGCGTGATCTTCGGAGATCGGCGCTCATAGCACTTGAATTTGTATTGTGAGGACTGGTATTCATATTTGGAGATGTTAACTCAGCTGTTCGTCCTGTTTTTGGCGTAGCGGAAACTCCAAATGCACCATAATACGGAGAAGCACAGAAAAGAGCAGGAGAAGTAGGATAATTAGGCTCGCTGGTGGGAATCTTGGAATTATTGGAACTTGGGTCTTTTTGCTTCATTGGGGCAGAACCAAGTCGGGAACCAAAATCGTCTTCGCCCCCACCAAAGAGCGGATAATCTGGTGATTCCATAGATGGCGATAGCTTTATATCCCTTTCTCTCACTGTGGGTGCTGGCCTTGAAGAAATGTTTGGGGATGGTGCCATTGCAACAGGCGTGATCAAAGATGAATCGTAATGTGCTGGAAGATTAAATGACGAGACCTATATTCTTGATTAGAGACTTCTAGTTACTAGTCGTAATAATATAAACGTACAGCACTGTAAGGAGTCCATGGAACATCTGAAGCTCTAGCACTCGTGTGACTTGCACTGTGAGGTACACCATGACCCCCGCCAAAGGCAGGCTCCCCCATGGTGGTCATCTTGAGACGAGGTAGAAGCGGTTTCTTGAAGACAGCTGGAGATGTAACAGCAAAAGAATCCTCAAAGAATGTAGGAGATGGAACAGGAGCTGGTAAAAAGATTTAATAAATGGAGAGAGACTTTAGGAGACCGACAGGAGGAGAGAGGGTATCTTACCAGAATATATATCAAGCATTTGGAATTAGTATAGCGTGGTATAATTATGTAGTCACAACGAAGTCAATCTGCCTGACAAAATCGAGTCAATAGAAGCCTTGGTAGCAAGTAAAAAATCGATGACTTTTTTTATGCCAGTCAGGACCTATAAGTTTAAACAGAATGAGAGGCACAGCAAACTCAGCCCTGGTCACTCATTGGGCCGGGGACCAGGTGGCAGTGAGCAAGCAGGAGCAAGGTAGCGCCTTAACTAAACAGAGTGGGATATGCATGTTAGCAAGGGGAAGGGGTAGCCGCCGGGATATGAGGGGAATGCACGGTACTTGGTAGCAAATATGATTTGAGCGCTGGGAGTCTTAGCCGACTTAGCTCTTGATAATTCTACTATCCCCATATGGTATAGTGCCATTTCAAGCTTAAAAATTAAGAAGTATACGGTACCCCAGCGCGTGCAACGGCGGCTGGGTGTTGTCACACAACCTTGCCTATTGCCAATGTTGAATTTCGTTATCGCCTTCCTGGGATCGCTGATATGGCTTAAGATTCAGAGTCTAAGGGTATATGCACTGAGCACTGAGCACTGTGCAGTGATAAATGGATCGATCTCAAGGGTCCGGACCGACGGCAGCTATTACGCGAGTTCTTTTATTTGATGATCAAAAGATCATTTAGGTCGGTGATTATCGGATGCAAATAATACCATTTTGCAATCGTATTCATTGGAAATCACTTTTCAGGTCTTGCCCGTACCTCGGTAGCTGATAGAAACCTGGATCTCAGATACAAGAAAACATCCTGTGACACACGAATACAGGACGTATTTTGTGGCCACCGGGCAGCCGAACAAACCACGCACACGGCCACTGACAGGCTTACTTGTCCGTAAAAGTCTGAATTCTCCATAAAATCAGGCCAGCACAGCTTTTCTATAAGAAAAATCACTTTGGAGCCTGCCAATTGACGGGGTTTGTTTCATGCTTTGCTGAAATCTGGCAAGGGATGCTGGCTATTGTAACGTGATTGTGTCGAAAGTAGCGACGTGCTTGATCCCGAGGGCACGGTAACGGTTCCTCCCATGGTGGGGATTTCAAAAGTACTCGGACATTGAACAAATCAGAAGTTCAATAGAAGGAGAGCCTGTGAATTATTTAGCCTATAGAGCGGTTGGTGTGGGAATAAGTCTGGTGAGATGTGGTGGGGAGGAGGAAGTAAAGCCTTGTCAAGTTCATATGTTGATGGAGGATTGTTCAAGCGAAGCGAACAATTATTCGAACCGCGCGCTTTTTGTGGACTTTTGTGGATTTGTTAATGTAGAAATCACAACTTTACGTTTCTGCATTAGCGTTTCTAGACAATTGACCAGATAATCTAACCTAATATGATTTACTAATAGAGAATTTGTGGGACCAGTATCCAATCACGTTCTTTTTAATGATCTCGAAGCGAGTGTGCTTTCCATCCAGCTTCCTTAAATAATCTAGTGCTTACTCCGTATATACAATAAACATCATCGATGCCCACTTCGGAAAAGATTGCATAATTTACACTTCATTACATACGGTACAGAGCACGTATATATACACCCATATGGAACGCTACGGAATACGGCATCTTCAAAGAAAGCATGATGCTGGCTGCGAATTGGGAATTGATGTATAAATGCATCCGTGAGTAATTCTTGTTTAATCTAGGGCTATCTTCCGAGATCCCCCCATCTCAACAACCCTTCTTGCTCCTCTAGACCCCCTGTTTTCTCTCTCATCCCTCTAGACATCCTAGCAACCGAACTCGGGACTCAACCATATTTTCTCTTTTTGTGATTGCCATTGCATTAGTCGTCTGAAATTGAATTTACCTCACTCCACAATGTACTCATTTGCAAGAACGAACGTACACACAGCCTATCTACTAGCGAGGATAAATCTCAGCTCCAAGGCACTAATCCGCGATTAACGACTTAGACATGCTCAAGCTGAATGTAGGGGGTACAGAGAAGCGCATTTGACGCCGTTGGTCTTGTTGGCGTAATGACAGCCGCGTCAATTAAAAGCCGTTGTGAACAATTGAAGATACTCCGTAAGCATGACACGAATTCTATCAAGGGTAAAAATCAATGATTTTAAAAAATTCCTGGGTGAAATGGAAAGGATGGTACGATTTGTACGGGATCCTCAAAGAGGTTTAGTGATTACTTCATTATTATAACCGGCAAGTCTACTCGGTCTCATGATAATTTTTAAATGGTCGACCGTTCGAGACAGCACACCATTTTATCTCGCCCCCTGCTAGACTGAACCAAACTGTCGGTAACAAAACAGGCGAAAACCTTCCGCAAACACTTTTCGTTCATTCTACATATAACTCAGCGCCAGCTTAAACACCCAAACTAATGTGGGCCAATGAACTCGGATCCGGATGGCCATTTTCTAAAGCTACATTGTGATTCCCCCTTTGATCAACATGATGGAGGGGTGAGAAAGGTCAGTCTTTCATACTTGTAGATCATGCATCCTATCAGTAAAAGCAGGTAGATTTTGGGGGTTTCATAGGTCACTCCTATCCTTCCAATCAAATTCATCATCAATCTAGCAATTTTTGATCCTGGCTGCCAGAATCATCACGAATCTTACGGTCCGTACAGTGTTGATGGTGCCGATTTCAGAAATTGGCACACAAAACAGCCATCAACACAATCAACACGAAATACATTGCTGTTTTCCTGCCGAATGTAACATTTCACGGCTTCGTCCGTGGTAATGGTACAAGATACACTGTATCAATACGGCGGGGAGGAAGTGAGAGCTTAAGCATAAGGAGATGACCATTATGCCATGCGCAGCCACGTATACAACACTTAATTGCCTAAGACCTCTCGAACTCAAGGGTGACTGGGTACTAACATAGCTTAGGCTTTGGAGAAACAACGGATACTTGATCTCGATCTTGATAATCTCGACGATTCACCCCTCAACCATGAATAATTATCAGTTGTCAGCGGAACCCTCCCTCCTTTCCCCCGATACAACACAATGCGGTACAATGGAGAGAATATCCCTCGATGAAGCTCAACCCTAATCCGAAAATGCAAGGTTTTTGTGAAATTACAATCATTGGAATTAATATTGGAATTATCCAATCCTATCTGGCTTTGTAAACGGATTTCGGCTCGCAATCAGCCAGCCAATCATAGGATACAAAATGGGAAAAAACGATGTGCCGATAATGCTGGGGTAAGAAATAATACTATCTGAACCCTTGAATGTGGTGAACGGACATCTAGCCCGTCCAATTCTCCATCGGTCGTGCCTTCACTACTTGCACGGAGATACGTTTCTGAGCGAGTGAGATACTTCTCAAAAGAGGACAAATCAATCCGGTCCTTTGGTTCACAGGATTCCAGACCATCATTCTCTTTCGATTGCGGATATTAATGCAGGCAGACACACCGCCAGAATCTCCAATAAAACCAGGATCTCACAGTGTAATACAGCAGTTTGATAGATGTTTTGATCGGTCAGGTTAGCTGCTACCGTCTGTCTGCATACTCAGAAGAGGCTTGGGTTTCCGGTCTTTACCAGTTTGTCGGAATGAGATAGATGCTCACGGGTCCGACGGGAAAGCTTAACAACCAACCAGTTTCATACAAGATAAAAACCACAAAATGCACCTTCCATCTTAGCTATCGATGGCGGATATCTTACCATAAGGCTGCGTTGACGAAAAATTCGATCGGCAGATAGTCAGCTTTTCAGAAGGTCAGAAACTTGTTCAGGTGTATGCTCCGACTGAAATGGCAATATTCGCGAAGGATCAGTGGCTCCCTCTGAGGTAACAGTAGGCATTCTAATGGCAACCCACATCAGCCATTAATCCTGGTCATCAATCATATTATTGATGAGATTCAGAACAAACTATGGACTGAAGTACGAGTGACTTCATGGCCCCCAGATTTTGAATTGCCATTAACAGGCATGCCATCAAACGGTGACAAGAACTCCTGTCGAGAACCTTGGCCAGTCTTTTTTTTCTTCTTCTGGAGCTTTGGGGACCAAGGATGGCGGCGTGGCAACAGGCAATATTGTACAGAATGCAATTTCCAAAGCTAATGCTGGTATATTGCGCATAACAGCCCACATTCACATTTCTTTGTGCCACCCCCTCCCCCACAGAACGTGTTTCGATCTTCACTCAATGGCTATCTGAAGCTTGAATTCTCGAGAATTCAACCCATCTTGAGCTTTCAGGATGGTGAGCTGACAGAATTTGGCTACTAACCTTGCCACGAGAAGGGTCGATGACAATCCCTTGTTCATCTTCGTGGGATTTCGACCTTTCGAATTTGTAGATTGTTCTTTGAGAATATCCACTCAAGGCTCTCGTACTATCAATTCACAATTACCAATAAATCTATGTTGGCGATAGAACAAAAATAGCAATCTCCGAATACTTTCACGGTGCGAAAGACGTTTCTCGAGTATTCTATGGGGAAAGTCTCCCATTGCAGCACAAGTGGCCACACGGTTGACAGCCTTCCTACTGTAACATCACCACACCCTCAGGACGAGAGAGATGTTTCGTAATTGCAAGTCACCTCTTTTATGCAATCCACAGAATCTAATTCACATCAATATCACGAAATGGCTGGATGACAGGCCAGCCTTTTGGTCGTAGCCGACAACAGTACACCCTCAACTCTCTGCAATGCCTTGCTATATTGGAGTTTATCTCTGAAAGGGGGAATTTTTGCGGTCGCCTGCTGATCCCCTTGATTGTAACCTCGACTTAAACTAAGGTTATTTCATGATGAGGTCGACTTCTTGAAGGATTTTATCCAGGTTGCTTTCTTCGATGCAACTTTGATTTTTTCTGGGTCAAACTTGCTGACGATCAGAGAAGACACTACATCTATCTTCAAGAGGGACAATTTCACACCCCAAGTTCTTAGCTCACTGTTGTGCCACAAACATTCTACAAAATATTACTTCTCTTCAACTTCGCCATGGCATGAACGGCAAATCACTCGGATCGGAGCATTCTTTTCCATTACGGGCACAATCATCGAAACATTCACAATCCCCCTTCTTCTCAGAACCTTCAACCCGCTTTTTTACTACCAAAACTGATATTGTCGCCGCCGCCAAGACCAACATTTCATAACCTTGATAGGACATCTCCACCATAATCCGCCCTAGGAATATCTCAAAATAACTTCACATGGCAACATGGTCCATCCTTCAGAATAGCAAGTCCAAGCTTCTGTCAACCCCACTCCGCACCATCTTCCCCAGAAACAACAACACAACATAAACTAACATTTTGCATCCGCAACAGATGAAATCCAACAATTACCGCAATACCAACAAAGATAAGCCAGATAACGCGTATATATCTATTTGGAATCTATATTCTACACATAAATGCGATGAAGAAAGGCTTCACATAATGGCGGGATTATCATCTATGAAACCAAGTGTTCCTGAAGCTCGGGACAATATCACGGTTGTTCGGCTTACAGAATGAATCCTTCGAGGCAGAAATTAAAGCAAGCGCTTTACTTTGGAACCCGGTCCACCTTTTACGAATATTATTTCGTGTTGCGTTTTCTTTATCTGTAGTTCTATAATATCTGGGCCGGCTCATATTACACTGTGGAGATGTTTTGGGATTCACTGAAGGAACGACAATGAAGGAGTTATCTAAGTGAAAACCACTCGCCTAGAAGTAGGCATGTAGATCATCGAGCCCATCAGCTCGAAATGATAGCCATTGTGAGACGAAACCCTTCATATTTGATATTCAACTCATGCATCTAATTGGGAGAGATAGGGTGATATTCTATGCCACTGTATCCCCTCCTATTTTAATAGGAGGCGTACATAAAATGGATTGCCAATATGATATTGAATGGTAGATTTACTGAATCAAACTTTGCCTTGAGCTTTCCCTCAAGTACAGTTTTTGATAGATAATTTGTCTCCTCTGCGCAATCCAGTTTCATCAATGAACACTCACACACATTATCTCTTCGTATCTTTACCGCCAAGGAAAGCATCTGGCTTTCACAATTTTGTCCATTGATATTTTCACCAAAATACAGTACATCGATATCTACCCAGAATGTTGCCCAGAATATTTGCATCTCCATGCCATCAACCCGTCACACTGTAATCACTTCCCCAACATTACATCACTGAGCTTTTCCCCTCAGTCTCCGCAATTACTATAAATGCATGAATGCATTATCTTGCTGACCTAACACTGAGAACACGTGGCCAAGACACTCTATTCTGAACCCACCATCATCCATAAGACCGTAAATCAACAAATCGCCGCTCTCTTCAGATGCATCCCATTCCTTTCCCCTCACTTCACATCGCCTTACCGTATCATCCACCTACCTCATACATCATGATACATGTCTATCTACTAATCCATCATCTGTTATCCGCTGCAAGCCCACAAGCCTTCAAGCTAGCAATCTTTGCATAGGGCTAGGGCGCAGTCCATGCACACGGCAAACTAGCCATCTCCATCTCACTCTCACATGTTTTCCCTTCAATAAAATTGCATACAATCCACCCGTCACGATATCAAACAATCCATTTCAAAAAAGCAAGTAAGCTGACAACGTCACCTTACCTAACTTACCCTAGCGATAATTTGGGGGCCAAAAGCAGCAAGGCAAAGCAAGCTAAATTCTCACCCACATATGCAGGCAAAACCAAAACGAAAGAGAACAAAGCACCCTGAATATCAGTACAGATACCTATCTAAGCATATCGGCGGTGCCGAGCCTTCTGAGTAAGAACTAGGAATTAAACATTCTGAGATTGGATGAGATACTGTATGCAATGGCCTCGAACGAGAAATGTGGCGTCGTACCGAAGAAATGGTAAGAATTTAGATTCGCTGGGATACCTAGGTACCTGGTTAAATGTATGATGACAAAATTCGGGGTTAGGAAATACGTGCATGTGAGTGGTGGGCTGTGTACGATGTACGATTGCGAAGGGGGGAGCGAGATACGGGAGAGAGAGTATATTTGGAATTGTCGGGCTGGAAGAAAGATGCTGTTAAGGGTAGGGTTGAATTGGTGGGGCTGTGGATTTTTGACATCGTGAATAGTTGTACTCGGTGATGAAATATTGGGAAGCTGGAACACGTGGGTTTGGGATTGTTTGTGGGGTTGCGGCATGATGAAGGTGGTTTGCATTTTGAGGAATTTCTTTTGACAATGGAATGGATAGTCTTGGTTCTCATGGCCATTCTATCTACTTCTTGTTTTGTTTTGTTTTGTTTTGTTTTTTCGCTGATGATAAAAACATTGTGTAGATCTCTACTCCGAATATCTAAGTAGATTTCGAGGAGTACGAAAGGGCAATTCATGATTTTTCATTGCAGACGAACTTGGTAACATTGGCTGTAGTTCAGTTAATCAACTGGTCTGAAACTGGTGGCTCAGAGTAGCAGATTCATGAGCTATAATTGATCAAGCAAAATGATCCTGCTACCTCAATATCGCGTTCTGCATAGAAATGTCCTGCCTTGCATACCTCGAGCAACCAGAAACCTCTCGAATGACCGAGTATACCTCGCCATGAATGATTTACCACGCATTTTCGTCACTCTTAGATGCACCCGAGTAATCACAGGCACTCATTGCAATGGCGAAGCCAATAATGAGACAACGTGTTTGTAAATCATTGCATCTCGCACAGCGCACGCTATCATTTATGCACATGAAGTCTTTGGTATGAATGATACAAACAAATCGGTTCTTCAATCCCTTCATATGCTATAATATTCCATCAAAGTAGATTTTCATAAGCCAATAGTTCAAGATGATCGCTCAAGCCCGCTCGCAAATCGATTCAATTTAGTTTTAGCCCATCCGAATTCCCAGACATGAAGCCATCGATCATCCGTACAAAGGTGGAAATTTTGCTGGCCGAACAAAGCTTGAAGGTCCTCATGTTTGTCTGAGCATCATAAATTGCTATACCTTGATAACTATCTGATCAGAACTGACTACGTTTCACGTACTGAATAGCAAGAATAAAGATAAATACAGGAAGTGTCCTTATTTCCCCGCACCCTATAAAGTCGTTTAAAACAACAGCCTCCAAGCTATTTCAAGAGGTGTTTAAATCAGAGATAAAATCAAGAAACTCGCTGTCTGCAGAAACTGAATTTCCACCGTGGCCAATACATCCAGCAGATATATATAGAAGATGAAAGCAACGACGCAGTCAACAAGTCCAAATTTCTAATGAAACTAAACCCAAGAAACCCCAGCTTATGAATCTAGTTAGGGGGCAAGGAATGAAGTCATTCTCCTTCAAAATACCAGTGGTGCTATGGCACAACACGAAGTTTAGTCGACACACACAAGTAGGGAATCCCCACGAAACCTACAAACAAAGGAGTTACTCAGCCGTGCGCTACTTGACCTTTGATAGTCGGCATCTCCTGCTACTAGATCTATATGTCGAGGAAGCGAAACCGCGGAATCGTGCACTGTAGAAACAACATATAAAAAGGAACTTTCTCCAACCACTCTCCAAAAGCACAGGATTTCAAGCATACCGAGTAGATTTCCCATACAATGAGTCAAATCAGGCTTTTCAAGAAAAATACACACCCCCAAACAAAATAAAAACGCTGAGAAATAGCTATCCCCCAGAACATTCCTTACTTATGTCAAGTAGTGGCTTCCAACCACAATCTACTTCCGTTCCAATACAGAATACCATCTAATCCCGTATTTCCGCACTATCCGACATCGATACCATAACCCCGAGACGATATCAATAATACGCACAAGACATCCTTCCGATCAAGTCTCAGAAACTTCTTCTCACAATCTAGATATCTATCTGATCCACGAAATCCACAACTCCATCTCATCCCCACATAGATACCCCTCCTCTCCATTAGCGAACCATCATCTATCTCACCACCGACATTACTCTCCCACAGACTTTATAAGTGACCCAAAAGTAAAGCATCAATACCTACCTAATTAAGCAGTAACCTCCTCTCACAACATCGCGATCCGATCTCTTCCGAAATACTCAATAGGTAGGTACCCACTTAGCGAGAGCAAGTTCTCGAAATTTACTAACTCCCTATCCTTTCGAGCTAACCAAAGATCAGAAGTAAGACTTGAGGAGAAGGAATAAATACACTGTACCCTCAAGCGCAATACTATACTTCCTAGCTAGTGCAAAAGAGGTCTCTTTGGCATCAAGCAGCTCTTCGGTATTGAGAATCTCTCCCTCCTGATAGTATTAGATTCTTTTTCCAACCCGGTCCTCTATGTTGATTCTCACAGCAACAATCTATAAACACCTACACAATCCCACAATCCCACAATCCCATAATCCTACAATATCTCAATCCCCCCATCAACTATAACATCCAGTACCCCATCCATCTTCCACCCCCCATTCATCCTCTCCCACAAACCCCAACACAAGAACCGCCCGATCCAATCAAAACAAATTAAAAAAAATCCAAGAAAATCCAAAAACAATCAAGCCACCCTGAACAAAAATTGCTCCAACTCCTTGTCATCATCCTATACCTAGGTACACCACATAAAACTAAAGCAGCATTCGGGATTCGGGATACAAGGACATCCCAGCCAAAGAATCAAACACTAGATCAAAGATTATTAACTTGATCTGATACTTACAGCGAGAAGTGAATCGAAGGTTTCCAAACCTCCTTTCCATTAAATATTTCCCAAGCCATCTAACGTGAGCGGAAAATTTTAGATCAGATCATCACTATGAGACATGAAATGTGCACGTGTGGGAATTACATCTGATCGAGTGTAGTATTCTGGAATAATCCTTTTCATCCACGGCTAGTTATCTATTATATGGATACGACGTAAATGGCCCGTCTACATCTCCGAAATCATAAGAGGCTAGACAATCCAATAGTACGCCCGTCGCTAAGATAATATCGTCACCATCCATAATTACTCTGATGACTTTTATTCAATTGCTATCTACGACCTACGATGCGATATTAACAATCAACTGAATATCAGCTATCGATCAGCCAACTGATAGCAGTAGACGTTTAAAATCTTCGCCATTGGACCCCTGAAACCGCTAATTTCATTTCATTTCAACCAAGCAAATTATCCATTATCATTCAACCGTTATCAACCAGCTTGGGGTATACCACAGCCTGATAGCTTGCCCACCCAAGCTAACCCCCAGTTTCCAACAACATCATTGTCATCCATCCACTCACCCACCCGGAAGAAAGACAATGGCAAGTTGTGCCTATCCGACTGCCGAAAGAAAAGTTTCTCCAAGTACCACTCCGTCCAACAACTCCGTTCAAAGGGGATATATAATCATCAAAGAAAATTACTTCAACCTATTAATCTTGTCATACTAGTGATATGACACACTAGCACAGGAAGACTAAGCTATAATCGAAGTAAAAAGAAGCAAGGAAACCAGGCATAATTAGGAAAAACTTCAAAATCGCACATAGTGAAATGTGCCAAGTCGGTTAAAAAGGAAAGAAATCTCAAAAAGGGTATTTTATCCACCGTCAAATGCGCCATTAAAAGAGTCGTGAATTCGTAAAAAATTGAGAATGGAAGACAGATGAAGAAAAGAAGCAGGCGGTTGAGAGTAAAAATATGTTGGACTCGGAATCAAGAAACAAGAATGGGCGGTTAGTAACAAAAGTGTTAAAGTACGCAGCCCTGGAAATAATCATTCCCATCGATTATTTCTCGAGGCTGAATTCCCCAGGGTCAAAAGATCATGGAAAAAGCCTTGGATAGGTAAGAATGGGTCTAGTGCGCAAGTTAGCTTGGCAATTGAAAGCTCTCTGGCTTTCAAGCTAGAAACCCGCTGGCTTCAAGACCTTGAAGTGCCTGTCGATTGTAGGGAAAATCCATTCCCAAATCCATTCCTCCATTGAAAAACCAGGAATGCGAATCGAATCCCCCCTCGAAGTTCGGTTCGCCATAACCAAAAAGTCCACCGAGTGTCTGATCGACACCGAGAATGGTATCGCTCGGGTTGCCCGCGCTAACTGCAGCGAGGAGTTGATTCTGCATTTGATGATTTGGAGGAATAAGAGTACTGTCCAGGTGAGTAGAAGAGGCAGACGACTCGTTGGAACTATCGAGATTGGTCGGATTTTGGATCGCTGCTGTATTGAGTCCTTAGTTGGAGATCCTTTACAAACTAAAATCATGCAGAATAATTGTTAAAGATTACTGACCTTCAATACTTCTGCCTTGGCTTTGGAATTCCTCTCGCCATCTCCATATAGAATCATATACCAAGCTCATGCTCATCCTGCATCTGAGTTTCAATTGCAAGCTATCGTCTATGTCACCAAAACCTGAACCTAGTTCGTTACCATTATTTAGTTGTGCTATCTGGCGCTGTTCAACTCGAGCTCCATTGTACATCTGAGCCATAAGTTCCGCAAGTCTCAGAGGCAAGTCCCCTGGTACAATGCTCATGGATCTGATGGCGTCAATTGCACGATGAAACAATTGACGACCGCGATCGAAATCCATAAACTTGGCAAAGAAGGAACTGAGTAGCTTTAGTAATGAAAAGGAAGCAGCAATGATCAGTTGGGAGATGTAGCCTGTAGCGAATCGAAGGATACCACCAGTGATGCTACCGGATGGTGGGTTTTCAAGCTCGAAAACAATATCCAAGAACTCATATGTAGCCCGCCATAATCCCATCAAGTCATCCAAGTACCCAGATGTGGTACTTGAATCAAAGAAACCCGAAAGGCGAAGATGCAGCCCAGCCGCACGATAGTAAAGTTTGATCATTGGCGATGAATTCTGCTGAGATAGAGCTGTTTTCTCCATCTTTTCATACTCGTAGCGGAATATTCTAGTCAATTGACGCCTGGCATCATCACCAGCAACACCCTTTGGATCTTTAGCATTGCTATACATTTCCTTTGAGACTTTATCGCAGAACCTCTCGATATCGAGACGAGCTTGAAGCTCTGGCGAGAGTGTAAAAGGTCCCTCTTCACCTGGCTGTACAGGAGCAAGTGTCCAATCGTATAATGTTGAGGCTGGCTGTCCATACCCAGTCGCTATACTTTGCGCTACAATATTGCAGACCGCCCACGTCACAACTCTGTCATGTAACTGCTCCCTGTTCAGATCTACAGATACTCGGGAGAAATCTTGAGTGTTGTTTGGCCTATGGAGCCCAATGCCAGTTGCGGCTTTCATCATTACACCGCACAAAATATGCGTGATATCTGCTGCCGTTGAAGCTACAGGCATTGGCCAAGTACATAACAAAATTATTGCTTTGACAAAATGGTAATTGTTAGGAACGTCTGCGATTTTCGACCACATCATTTTCGTAACAGGCTGACGAAGATTAGACAATAAATCTGGGTCCACAGTATATCGACGTGCCGCAATGGTAATGATGACCCAGAAAAGAAGGGGTTCTTGTTGGTAATATTGATCGGGGGTTTGTTGCGTGCTAAGAAATGGGAGATATGGGTGGTAAAATTGAAAGAAATCGGCGAACAGATGGTCAATGGCATCCTGTGTTAGTCCCACGTTCTCGATTTGTCGCGCATATTGTGGTACTTTGTATGAACCTCCCTGCTTGAGATGTAGTAGGGATGACACGGCTTCATCTGATCCTCCTCCTATGTATGACTGATTTCTCGAATGTTGATAAACACTGCTATTCGTGACTGGGGATCCGAGTTCTTCATCATCGTAAACGAATCCTTGATGTCGAGCGCGAGCTATTAATTGTTCTTGACGAGCTATTAATTGCTCATATCTTTCCATTTGCTTCTCCATCTCCGCATGTTTGGTTCGTTTTCCCACTCTTTTGAAGTTATGCTCAATCTTACATTCGAGCTTTAATCGCTGACATCGACCGCAAGTGCTGTAAGGATTTTGAACGACATCACAACGAAGCTGTAATTACTGAATATTAGCAATTGAAGGACCCTTTGGCTGGGATTCGAATTGGGTCGCCGTCGCATGATTGATTGCATTGCGAGTGTGCTCAGCCAATTCGAAAGTAATGACTCACTTTCTGTTGACGGCATTCATTGCAAGCTCTCTTCACAGCTGGCTGTCGCTTCCTCTCTGCATCTTCATCATCTTGTTCGTTTCCTGTTTGTTCATTTCCAGTTCCAGGACTACTCTCAAAACCTGCACCACTTCTCTTGCGTTTGTTGAAGCCTTCTCCTGTACCTGGCCGCGCGCCTATGGTTGGGCTGGAAGCGGGTGCCCCGCCCACAATCCCATGTGAAGGCTCCATGCGCGACAATCCTGTATCGGATAGTTGAGCCGCAATTCTTATTTAGGACGAAGGGAAGCTGTAAAGGATGACTATCGGCACCTCTGCGTTGTGCAATCAAATGGGTCAATGGCTGTCCGGTGTCGCTCTTCTAAACAATTGAGGCCGATTACGGATGGTGGGGGGTTGTTAAAGCTAAATTAAAAGGAAAGACAATTGTCCACAGTTGTTGCAGGAAGAGATTTACTTATCGGGTGATACTTAGGTAAGAGTCGTGGCTTTTTGTGGTTTTTTTCCCTCTCCGCTAACCGATAAACTTTTAGTATAAAAGATCAGATGACAGGACCAAGGTAAATTATACGACGATATATGTGTAATTTCTGTAGGTAGGTAAATAGATATCCAGGTAGGTGTAAAATAACAATCAAATCTTGAATAATCCAATTACTTACATAGCGACACTTATACCTAGGTGGGTACAGGTAGGTAGTCATGAAATCCTCCTTTTTAGCATGTTAACTGCACTCTCGGTTCATGTATCAATACATCTGAATATGACGCTCCGCTTGGCCAACACTATGAAGGCTTCTTCGCTTCGCTCTAACATAGGAGGAAAAGGAATTCGATTTGATGAAAGATTTCAGATTTTAGAGCGAAGCGAAGAAGCCTCCACGGCAGTGGCCAAGCGGAGCGTCATGTTCATCTATAGAAGTTCTGCATACAGGCAAATTTCTCAAAGTGAAAGCCCTGTTATTCATCAATTATATACTGGCAGATGTCCTTGAATCGGCTCTATAACATACCTCCCCTACCAATAGAAGTTAACTTGCTTCTACAGGGTAAACGACTTGAGATAAGTACATCAAGACCAATATTAGGAACATCCATTCATTCAACCTATCGTGAAATCGTGATCTTCTATCTATATAAAATATTCAACATTAAAACCCCATCTCTATTGATATCTAGTCATATCATACCCTCAAATTAAATCCCTCTGAAACCCAAGGTATATTTGGAAGAAAGCTAAATCCACGCTAGTAAATACATATCCAAATAATAAAAAATCCAACATGTGCAACCCAAATATTTACATGACCGCGCAACAAGCTTTTTCTGCCTTTCGTAATATTCTTGGGAGAAATTTCTTTGCCAATTTCTCCAATTCGTCGTTGTTGTCGTTGTTCTGTTCTTGCTGCTGCTGATGTTGTTGTTGTTGACCGCCTTGCTGGTATCCTCCTTGTTGATACCCACTCTGTTGAGGTTGTTCATATCCTTGCTGGGGTTGTTGGTAAGAGGGTTGTTGGTGTCCAGAATGTTGCTGGCCACCATGATGTTGCTGTCCTCCATGACTTCCTCCGCTGGGTGGTATAACTGCAGCACCGCCTTGCAGGTTGATATACATCCTTCCCGCGTTCTCTTCAGTCGCATATTGCAAACCCAACTCCCTACAAATCTCTTCCACTTTCGGCTTGATCTTTTGAACATGATCTTTGCTATGATTTCCCTTTCCGACAATAACGTGTAAATGAGTTTGTCCCTGTTGTCGAGCATATCTTATTCTTTCCTCCAAAATGCGCTCTGCTTCCTCAACATACTGTCCATGCAAATCGATTTCATCGTCTCCGACTCTGCCTTGGGCATTGTTCTCTCGAAATATGTAGTCTGATGCTTGTTTATTGTATGCGTCCATTTGCGCCGCGTGTTTCTTCCCTTCGACACTCAACTCGTGAGCTCTGGCACCGTCGCCGGATGTATAAGCTTGACGCGATTGATCGAAACATTGAGAGCGTTTCGCAGCTTCTTTGTGAGCGAGGTCGCGCAGTCGGTCATATTCAGCTTCAGCATCATTCGAAGAGGAATGGTTAAAGGCTGTTGATTGGGTGAGTATGGTACAACAAACTAAACGCAGAAAGATCGAGAACTTCGAGAAGTAATCGGTCTGGAGGGATATGTATCTAACCTTTCGAGCCCATTGACTTCATAGCGTAAGAAGACGACATCTTGAGTATCTATTGTTGTGTAATTGAAAAGATGTTGAGCCCCCTTCGAGGAAATGGCTGAAAAATAAAGAGATCTCTCGCACATCCAAAATCATGATTTGTTTGTACACCCTCGGAAAAAAGCCGGTACTGTACCTAGACCAGCTGAATGATCAAGGCAAATGTCAAGCTAGAGTTGTCAACTTTAAATTACATGCGCTGGGGGAAAGTGGGGAAGACACTTCAACAGCGCCAGGAACCCTGGCTCGAGTTTGGTCTTGAGTCTCGACGTCTTCGCTGTCGATCTCGAGACAGAAATATTTCCAATAGTTGTGGTTCATTGATCGAACATGGTATGTCGCACTTCATTCTTCATATTGAAATCTGGAATAACTCTTTGCAGACCAAATTAATATATCTATCTATATGTATCTCTATCTACCTAGCATACACCAATTCTTATGAAGTCAGCCCGTGCAAGAATGTCGATTGGAATCTTCGCGTAGGTATTCATAATAAAAAGTTTTAGGCTCACCGGGAGCTTATTAAAAATCTATTTTGCAGCCATCAGATACACATGATGTCGTTCTCAAAACCTACTCAATTTCATATAACAAGTCAGTACATGAAGAAGGTAGAGATTTATGTTGTAAGTTGTACAGTATTTAACAATATCTACCTACCTATATACACGAAGTTGAATCGTACGAGACAGAATAATTTGGAAAGCATCACGTGTTAATAAGCCCAACCCAAAGATAATCAGACCGCAATTGATTCATAGAGCCCCTCTAATTTATCTAGGCGCTCCTGGGTATCTCTTCTCTTGATACCTGGACGTCCCATGCTCTCTCAACCCTAATCTGATCACCAGCCCAGACATGTTCAGGTCTTCTGACCCCGCTTCCCAAGGCACCTGTACCAAAATCTCTTGCCTCATTATTCTCCCGACTTGCAGTTTCATGTAAAACTTCCAATGCTATCATCATAGCTGCCTTTCCGTCCGTGTCAGGACTGGTGATCATGAAATCCTCATCGCTGTCATGTCTTCGAGTATAGCTAGTAGAGGGGACACTGGAGGGAATGTCGCGGTAGATAGGAGTTTTGTATTTCGTCTTCTTGTAACCTTTGTCTTGGAGGAGCGAGCCGATCACCGAAGCATTGGATATCAGAGTTGTGAGGAGGATGTCGACTTTATGCTTTGTTAGCTAGAGATTACATGTTATGGGGTGGTAAAAGAAAGGACCTTACGGGAAGCCAACAGCGAACGAATCTGTTGATCGCCGTTATGAGATACAACTTTTTTGAGTTGATTGATCGTTGCGAAAATACAAAAAACTGGGAGGGCTAAACGTAGAATGACGCTAAGTTTGAGGTGTGTTGATAGATTTGATTTTAGGATCATTGGAATAGGAAAGACAATGAGAGCCACATTCGTAGTGATGTTGAGAATACCAGCCGTGAATAGTTGCGCATATCCTTGTCGGCATTTCGGTCCAGGATCTGGAATAACCTGCCAGTAACGGGTGAAAGGCTGGCACTCAACAATATCACTAATGACTGTGGCTAAGAAGGTCACCGCGAGCATAATATGAAGATATCTGAGTAATTTATGGTGTACTCGTTGCCAAATCTGACCAGTCAAAGAACGCAAGAATATGCTGATGCTGTACTTTATGGCCCAAAGGCTACAATCGTCAGTACATTCTTTTGGATGGTGATCGGGCGTTGACCTACTACACAGCGTACATAATCCTAGAGGCTAGAACGAGTTGACTCCCGATTGTTCTTTTCCGCACCTCCTCTGATGTTAAACCGAGTGTTATACTATTATTGGTGCCAAACATCAAGATAACATGAACGAAAGCCATTCTCATAAGTAGCGGTATGATGGCCAGCACCATAATGCCATCTTCGAGGTAGATCTTTTCCGTCCGAACATATCTTCCAAAAATTCGAAATAAAATTATAACAATGGCAAAACATGTACACCACCAGCTAACAATGAATGTAGGTTTAGTATCTATCCAAGCACGTTGTTCGGGTGCTTCTGTGGCATAACTTCGAAGAACCTCCATTGTTCGTGTAGGTGCTAATACCGAAAATTGTCGATTGAAAGCATACTGAGGGAAGTCTTATGGAAATGCGGTTCTGCACATGCAAACAAGACAATCAAGTCCCTTGGCCGGTGTGTGTGTGTGAAAGAAGATGAGAGTTCCAAACTTTGGGGACTACTTCCTCGTTCTCATGTCCGGCAAGAAACGAGTTGGTAATATTCTTCTCTTTTAACCGGATATTGAGGAGTTATCGAGCATCAAGGCGGTCGTGAGAAACGGAAACCAAATTCGTTCCACTCGTGACATTTTCCCCTGCAGACTCGACTTCGAGTTTTGAATTGTGGCTACCAAAGAGATGGTCCAAGGACCAAGACTGCTTTCGGACCTTGTTCAAAGCGGGATTAAAAGATAAGAGAGAGATATCATGATCCGAACCAACAACATTCAGAATTGTAAGATTGCAATTTTCATTTGTGAAGACGATTAAATTGAAAAATGAGGTCGGAACGAATAAATTCTGTTCTTGGGACGGGAAGTTATTAAAAATCGGAGTTGCTTTCCTAAAGGAAACTATGAAGTGGATGAAGTATGATATTTTAGCGTACCCGTCGGAAACGTCAAAAATGTTCAACCTATCAACTGCCTTTTCTCAAGCCTTTGAGTTTCGGACATCCAACGTTGTCCTGTCGTACTTGTGTTGATAAGGATATCGGAATAACGGCCTGATTAAAGCTTAGAAATATCACATCCAATACCACATCCAATACCACATCCAATACCACATCCAATACCACATCCAATACCACATCCAATACCACATCCAATACCACATCCAATACCACATCCAAAGCTTTACCACACTCCTGGGACGATTCCTCTCATTTCTACCACTCTTTGCCTGGATAACAATGTTTGATGTGCTGCACTCTGCTTTCTGCAGGCACATATGCACAAATTCAGGGGCATTGGAATCAATAGATTGAATCGTTCTTTGCTACCAGGCCGTACCTTGCATACTTCCCAACGCATAGTATGGTTGGAGGCTTGGTGTCCTTTGAAACTTGAACACAAATACTGCATTCTTGCTACAATCAATCATGAAGGGGCAATTATCTCCGTGCCGACTACCTTGCACATCTGGTAGGATAAGATCGTTTTGTGTACAATTCCCGAGTTTGAATGTCATTCATAACTCAACGTCACATTACACAGGGGCAACTTATCGGCCTTGATTAGGACCTAAGTCGGTTACCCTACTTTCGGGCCACCCCTGTTTTGGGCCACCCTTTCACACCAAAAATCACTTTTTAGGCCTATTAATATCTCTATCAATATTCAATATAATTCCATGAAAATTTATATATATATAATTTAGATCGATTTAAACTTATTCTGAAATTTTTAGATTTTTAGGATTTTTCTGTATTGAGAACTAGAGCTTCAAAATATCGATTTTCAAATTTGTATAAAAATCACATATAAATTTAAAACTTTTATAAAATCTTTAATAACTTTTGAACAACAATTATTAAAAGAAAACCATATATATTTTTGAGATATTTAAACTTGAATCTATTTAGAAATTCAAAAAAAAATTCGAAAAAATTAACAGATATAGAAATATAATAAGTCGGTTACCCTACTTTCGGGCCAACAGGGTTTTGGGCCACCCTTTCACACCAAAAATCACTTTTTAGGCCTATTAATATCTCTATCAATATATAATATAATTCAATGAAAATTTGTATATATATAATTTAGATCGATTTAAGCTTATTCTGAAATTTTCAGATTTTTAGGATTTTTCTATATTGAGATCTAGAGCTTCAAAATATCGATTTTTAAATTTGTATGGGAATCACATACAAATTTAGAATTTTTATAAAACCTTTAATAACTTTTTAACAACAATTATTAAAAGAAAACTATATATATTTCTGAGATATTTGAGCTTGAATCTATATAGAAATTCAAAAAAAAATTCAAAAAAATTAACAGATATAGAGATATAGTATACGGTGAGTTTAGAGTAGTATAAATAATCCCTGTCATTTTGAGGGTACCCCTTTAAATATTTATTTATGAGAAATTTTTTATTTTTTCTGAATCTATTATATGAAATATATTATAAAGTGATAGTAAAATTTTACAATATATTTTTAGCAATTTTTATTCGAAAGTTATTAAAGATTTTATAAAAGTTTCAAATTTGTATGTGATTCCCATACAAATTTAAAAATCGATATTTTGAAGCTCTAGATCTCAATATAGAAAAATCCTAAAAATCTGACAATTTCAGAATAAGCTTAAATCGATTCAAATTATATACATATAAATTTTCATTAAATTCTATCCATAAATGAGAGAGTTAAAATTTCCATTTTTGGTGTAAAAAGTGGCCCAAAAGGGGGGTGGCCAGAAAGTGGGGTATCCGACTTATACAATAAATTTAGAATAATATAAATAATCCCTATCATTTTGAAGATACCCCTATAAATATTTATTTATAAGGAATTTTCTATTTTTTCTGAATCTCTTATATTAAACATACTATAAATTTATAATAAAATTTTATAGTTTATTTTTAGCAATTTTTATTAAAAAGTTATTAATGATTTTATAAAAAAATTAAATTTGTATATGATTCCCATATAAATTTAAAAATCGATATTTTGAAGCTCTAATTCTCAATACAAAAAAATCCTAAAAATCTAAAAATTTCAGAATAAGCTTAAATCGATTTAAATTATATATATATAAATTTTCATTAAATTCTATCTATAAATAAGAAAGTTATAAATTCCATTTTTGATGTATTTTTGATATAAAAAGTGGCCCAAAAGGGGAGTGGCCCGAAAGTGGGGTACCCGACTTATCCGTCTTGTATTCTTCCGTCAATATGCCCATTTCGATATTACTTCTCAAATTGCAAAGTAATTTCATACTGTAAAAGCTTCAAGATAAAAGTTTATCGCCTGGTTTGTGAAGCACATGCATGTTTTCTCGGTTTGTATCATCCGATTTTCAGGACCGAGGACTCTTGATAACCATCACATCTCATATCATTGAGACTCACGGGCTGCCGAATTTATCTTCTTCGAGAATTAGATTTATTTAAACAACCTGAGGTGTCAAGGACCTTTTCTCTGATGGTTGACCCCGCCATGAAAATGGAGAAAGTTTATGCAACCACAAGTTCGACTATTGTACCTCTTTTAATGAGACCCAAAGAGACGAGAAAG